AGTTTTGCAGGCAAATGGATGGAACTAGAAAATATCATCCTGAGTGAAGTAGCTCAGACCCAAGAGGACATGCATGGTATCTACTCACTGATAAGTGGATATTAGCCAAAAAACAAAAAACAAAAAAACAAAAACAAAAAAAAATACAGAATACCTAGGATACAATCAACAGAACTCAAGAAGGTTAACAAGCTTAAGAGTCCAAGTGAGGAAGCCTCAGGGAAGGAGAAGAAAGCAGTCATGGGGCAGGGGGCAGAGATCTGGTAGTTTTAACTAGCTAATGAATTGACTAATGAACTTAAAAGGTGGTGGATTACCTTGGGAGTAAGGAGCTAGTTGTCTGTTGTTCTCTAGCTGTCAAGCTACAGTTAGCTTAGCTGTGAATATGACCTGAGAAGGATAAATTATAATCTAGATGCCATACACGATTTAAAATGAGATAGATTAGTCCAAAGTCTGCTGCCCAGACTGTTCTCCCAGGTCCCTGTGGTCTCCATCACAGTGGGCTGGGGCAGTATGGCCATCAAGCCCAGAAGATGAGAGCTTTTTTTCCTGTGGAGGGGAACATGTGAGAGAGAACCTCACCTTGTCTTAAGCAACATGAGATAATTAATCCTCTGAATGTCCTCTGTCCACAGTTCAGGCTGGGCCCTGGCAATGGGCAAGGCAAGTGCCCAGTGGTTGGACCACAATCCAGGTGAAGTCCTTTATCATTGTGCCCATATCTTTTTAGAGACCTTGGAGGAGGGGATCACTGTTAGTACTTCAGAGTCTCTGTCATAGTAAGTTTAAATAAACATTTAATACCATATTCGGCAGACTTCTAACAAGATTGAAAGCTTGTACCTATTCAGTATATCTGAGTTAAACAATCTGTGTCTGTTTCTAGTTATCTGTTCTAAATTGTACCTAGCACACACAAAACAAGAGGTCAAATAAACCTTCACCTTGTGATTAACTATATCAGTTATTTTTTTTGTTTGTTTTCATTTTGTTGTTTTTTTGTTTTTGTTTTTCGAGACAGGGTTTCTCTCTGTAGCCCTGGCTGTCCTGGAACTCACTCTGTAGACCAGGCTGGCCTCAAACTCAGAAATCTGCCTGCCTCTGTCTCCCAAGTGCTGGGATTAAAGGCATGCACCACCACTGCCTGGCAACTATATCAGTTCTTAGAATGACTTTAAATATAATCCTGAACATAGTAAAGATATGATCATTCATAAGGTTACCCACACTAGCTTTCATTATTAAACTTAGAGTAGCTTTTGAGATTAGAGCCTGTTAGGTTAGGACCTTAAAAAAAAAAATCACGATTTTGAGTTGAAGTTCTTGTAGGATCAGAACAAAACTCTTCAATCTAAACGCATAGTCCAGAAAGAGACTGGGAATTTTCTGACCTTCATATGGTATATCATTATAAAAATTTATAGCTTATAAAAATCTAATGCTATATTAGAGCTTAATAACTTTAACAAAACCAAGGCCAAATGTTTTTCTATGGCAGTGATCTTTAACTTTTTTAATGTTGTAAACCTCTAAAGTAATATTAAAATAAAGCACCTTTTAAAAAGTGAAAACATAAAGCAATATTGTAAAAAAATTGTCAATAATATAAAAAAGTTATCTCAGCTTTAAAGTATCTTTGGAGACCTGCTTCCCTGATCTGCTCATGTCACATGTTCCTGCCCTTAAGCAAGATGATGGTGACATCCCATAACAGAGATGGCTGCCAGCCATGTGACTGCCCTTAACCAAGATGGTGGTGAAGCCATGGCTCTACCTTTTCTAGCCCTTAGCAAAGATGGCAGCTAAACATGCGTTGGGTTTATCCCGGAATGGAATCATGTCGAATGATTTACGATTATGTGAGCATAGACTTTCTTTTTTTTCTCTCTAGATTTGTAATTTAATACATATAGATTTTGAAAAATATTTACTAAGATAATTCATACACCACAAAATGTTCTAAGGTATATAATTCAATAGAGATTAGTATAGTAACAGCATGTGTTATCATCACTAGTATCTAACCCCTGGCATTTACTTACCTTCAATAAACCATTAAACCTACTTACAGTCATTCCTCAGTTCCTACCTTCCCTTTTCATCTTATTGCCCAGTGTGAATTATCTCATGACTATAATCAAATATCCAGTAAGAAGCAACTTAAAAGAAGAAAGGTTTGCTTTGGTTTATCACTTTAGGAAACATAGCCCATCATAGTAGGGAAAGGATAGCAACAAAGCAAGTTGCAGCTGGTCACTTGCATCCACAGTCAGGAAGTAGAAAGAGGTGAATTCTGATACTTGGATCACTTTTCTGCTTTATGTTCATCCTCAAGCTCAGACTATGGGATTGAGTGTGGGTCTTCCCCCCTCAGTTAAACTTCTATAGAGACTAGTTTACCTTCTATCTCCATGTTGCTGCCTATGCCACATACTGCATTTAAAAGAAACCATGTAATATTTTGTCTCTTATGATGGTCCTTTAGATTTAAAAGTGTTTTAAAACTTAATCTTTTTTTCCAGATGTAACAATAGGAAATTCCATTTTTCCCAGCATTTCAAACAGTGGCTACACCACGTAGTTTAATTATTTGTACTGCAGCAGCAGGCAACTCAAGACAATAAACATGTAATCTAATTATATATTTTGTCTTCCCATTAGATGAGCTGTCTATTAATACAGTAAACACATTTTTATGGGCTGTATGTATAAATCTATAAGAAATACAAAAGCATGTATTGAGAAAAACTGTAACAAATTAGTCATGTAATAGGCCAAATATCAGTATTCTTTTTTTTAAATGTTAATCAAAGACTTTATAAGTTTGGTAATGCTCAATAACAAGATGCCCATACAATCAGAAGTGTAACCCAATACCCAACCTAGATAAACCAACTACCTTTGACTGGCGGAGACATGGGAACATCTGCCTCCATGTTCCTCTCTCTCTCTCTCTCTCTCTCTCTCTCTCTCTCTCTCTCTCTCTCTCTCCTCCTAGATCCTCCTCTCCTTACTCCTCCTCTTCCTCTCCTTACCCCTCCTACCTTAGCTCCTCCTACATATCACCCTTCCTGTTAAAATAAAAAAAAACATTTCTCTCAAAATACAATTAAAGCATAACTATACCAATTTGTATCAATAAGATACAAGATAGACCTAATACCCAGGCCATGATTTTGTTGACTAAACAGAACCTCTGTCATCTCTCCTAACTAAAAGACTTAGTTCTGAACCTGGCTTTTTTCTTGGCTTTAGAATGAATGTCAGCTGAAAACCATCCTCTCAAATCTTTTCTCTCAAAATAAATAGCTGGGATTGACTATCATACTGTAAGTCTTCAACCCCATCAGAAATCCAGAATGACTGAACTAACTGAAATTATGGGAAGCACAAAGCATAGCTGCTAAGACTTAGCCAATTTATAGAAACCGCTGAACACCTGGACAGTCCTTTCAATTACTGTTTTGACCCTGGACTTTAAAAACATGCCTGAGTCTGAAAAGTATGAGCAGTTACACATTTTCAGAGCTAGCAATAAGGTAGACCAGCATAAAATAGCAGTAGAACAGTATG